AAAGGCTTGGCATCTGCACTCTAGCCTGAAAACTGAAACAGCCTGAACAGCAGGGTGGCTTAAGAACACCCTAGAGCTTTGTGGTGAGGGCTCTCCTGCCACCTGGGTGTAAATCCCTGTTGATAGAAAGAACAGGATGTGGGCCTCCTGCAGACCCTTTCTCTGGTACCCACTTCTCCCTGTCTCACACAACCAGCAGCACCTCATGGATGCCAGCCCTGTGTCAAGTTCAGTAGGGCCCAAAGCTACATAAGCCCAGCTTTCCTTGGCTTTCAGATGACACTCAGTCTAAAAGCAGATCTGTGCTTTTGCCCCTAGCTGGAGGGATGGCCATCACACAGCTTCTCATGCTCAGCAGCAGCGTTTTGCCCCATGCTGTCTCTAAGAATAGTGGAGCTCTGAGCAATTTTAAGTTAAACAGGGCAGAGCATGTGGCAACTTGGCGCTGTGTTCCACAGCCTCTGGGTCAGGTTTAGTGCATCCACCTGCAGCTTTAGTAGCAGCAGCAAATCCCAGACACAGGGCATGAAATGCACATAGCAGGCAAGCAGAAGAGAGACTTTTCTATCATTCCAGGCAGGTCTGCCCTTTAAGTATTGACACTGACAGAAACTGTTGATATCTGCCAGCATTTCTATTAGTGCATAATGTGCTCACATTAGTTCTTCCTCTCATAAGCTTTCTACTAATGTTTGTACCTGCTTTCTTGTCTTCTACTCCTTTTTGTCCTAGTAAGTCCCTCGTCCTCTTCCCTGGAGCACCATCCAACACCCCTGCTCCTCCCCCTCCTTCACTAAAAGTTCCCATTTAAGTATCCCCCCCTACATTCCACAGTGATTTGTTCCCAAAGTCTTTTAGGAGCAAAGCACCGATTCCTTCATGGTTCACACAATGCAAAACACAACCATTTCAGAGCAACAGAAAAAGTGTGCAAGTTGTCACCTAACCTGCAGTGCCTTCATCCAGAACTGTGGTCCTCAAGCTTTTCAAAACTGCCCTTCCTCTTTTAAAAAAAGTTTCATTTCCCCTTCTCATCTCCCCACTTTCTACCCAACAAAAGCACTATTCACTCTCTAACTTATCTCAAGTCCCCAGACCAAAAACATCAGATTTTTTGTTGTTGTTCAGGGGGGTTGGAACTACATGATCTTAAGGTCTTTTCCAACTTTAACTATTATATGGTTCTATGATTCTGTGAGTATGAAACAGTTTGCACTACCTATTTTCTTTCTCCCAACATTTAGATTTTTATTTTCAGCAAAACTGAACCCCAAACTCTACCTGTGTTGGCTCAAAGGATATACTACACTCATCTTGGAGCTGAAGAGGATGGAAGGCCTTTGGGTGAGATAGTCAGAGACAAGCACATCAAAACACAATGGCAAGGCAACAGCTTTTCTGTGACTCCTGCCTCTCGTCCTCCAGTTACAGGATGTATTCTGACACTCCTTAGAGAGAAAGTCACCGCTCTAGTAGAGGAAGGACAAAAAGGAGCAAGACAACAATGTGATTCTCAAAGCTGTTACACCATCCCAATTGCAAACATAGTTTATTTCTAGAACAGCTGGAATCCTGTATTTGACAAAGCTGCAGACAGACGGAGCTTTCAGAAAAAGATTGACACTGAAGGAGACTTAAAACACTTTTGCTGGCAGAGCTACAGTAGTGAGGTGCCAAAGTCCCTGCCAGACGGAGCTGTCATTCAAAGACCCCCGGCAGAGCTGGTGATACCAGTAAAACCTGTGCTCTTCTTGGTAGACATGTTTCACAAGGAGGCTTTGCAGGAAGTGAGGATGCTTTGGCAGCAGAGATGTCAGTTTTCCAGCCTGAAAGCATTCCGCATTAAGAGCATCTGGTGGGTCTATGGACTCAGCCCTGTCTGTCATAACAGCAAGAGCTGCAGGCATAACTTAGGCCTATCAATAGGCACAAAACCCAAAAGGCAGCTTACTTATCTTGACCCAGCACAAACAAGTGCACTTGCAGCAAAACGTATTCTTTGGACGATCACAGAGCACAGTTCAAAGATTCTTTGGTTGTCAGATTGCATGAAATTCACCCTAATTTGTTTTTTTTCCCAAATGCTGACAAGTGCCAGAGTGTTGTGGGAGGCTGAAAAAGAGATGCTAGTGTAGTGCCAGGAGAAGGGGGCATGATTCCAGGCTTTTCTGCAGTGCAAGCTCAGGCTCCAGCCCCAGTCCTTAGCAGGTGCTTCTCCACACTGTCACAGCACCACTGAGGTCTCAGGTGTATTCACACCATGTGCATGAGAACACTGGTTTCCCAAGGATTGTCAAAAAGGGTTAAAGCTTGTAGGAAGATGCCTACTATCTCTCTGAGGTGATATCTCAGGAGGTGAAGGAGAAATAGAGCACTTTCGTCTGGGGGAACAGAGGAGGTTGTATCCTTAAATATCTGCCATGTCAGTCCAAATTAAAATCAGAGCACTGGTTTGCAAAAACTGTAATTGAGTCAGTCTTGGCAGGAGAGCTGGTGCTCAAGTACCCCTGTTGCAAAAAAATACATACAGAGATATATGTATGTGTACTTTCTTCTGCAGGTATTGTCACTCAAAGTACCCAGAATGAAGTCCTTTGTCATGTACATCCTTTGGACCAGTCGTGTGCTGGCAGGGCAAGGAAGCCTGAGCTGTCACTGACTGCTGACAGTGGGCCACTAGCTGAAAAGGATGTCCCTTCTCTTAAGTCAGAACAGCTCTGAGGCATGCTCAATTCAGATCAATAAAAAGATCACTTCTGATCAAACATAAAATCCATCATTTGAAGGCATGGGGCAGAAAAACAGACCAAAGTTGGACATTTTAAAGAAATAAAAAATAGTCAATATGAAATTAATAACATAAAAAGTACCTGTTACATGGTTTTATTAGAATAATCCTCTATATTAATGTCAAAGCAGTTTATCTTGGAGTGAATATATGTGTCTTCATCCACAAACAGCAGACTTTTGCACTTTCAAATAGTTTCCTGCTCTGTGTTGCTGTAAATAGAGCACTGACTTAAGAAAAGGAACAGCAAGAGGAATCACAGCAACTATGCACTGTGAAGAGGGGGATCTCTAGCCTTCTAGGTTATCTGCTCAGTTACTACTGAGTTACTTATTTGAATTTCTGGACACTTTAGCAGTTGCCCAGTTTTGAGGTTTTTTGTCAAAGAGTAAAGAAAAAAATCAAAGTAAAGATACATATATTATGGTGAGAGAAAAAAAAGCAGGTGGCAACAAACACCAGTAAGGCACAAAAAGCATTTTCTGAGAGGACCATTAAATTACACAGAATGTCAGAAAAATAGGAAAATGCAGAGTAGGACAGAAAATGTTAATTTCCTCCAGGCTGGACCTGGTAAACTGTGTGATTCCTGCTTTTTGCAGAAACCTGCTGTGCCATCATGCAATTGTCCTGACAGAAGAGACCTACTTGTAAGTACAAGTTCTACTTCACAGCTAGACGTGAAAGGCAAAACATAAAGGAGGAGAGGCCTGCACTTCCCTTTTTCCTACAAAGAATTTCCAGCTCACCAGAGATGGACCACAGAAGGAGACAAAGACAAAGGTGCCAAAAAGGCATTGTCTCAGCCTTGAGGTTGCATGGAACTTCAAGACAATACCAGGTTGGACAAAACTGCTCTGCCTGTCCAGGCTCTGGGCAGAGCCTCCAAAAGCACGGATCCCAGCAGAGGCAGAGGAAGGGGCAAACCACATGTAACAGAAAGAAGCACACTGCTCCATTCACAATGGGCTTTCCATAAACACTTGTAGACTCCAAGGATAATAATTTGTAGGAGATGCACAGAAATCTTCTATAGAACAGGTCTTTCAAATACCCATTTACAAATGAGTATTTGTGAAAAGGGAAAGAAAAAAAGATCCCACAAAACATTAAACACACTTTCCTGGGCATGTATTTTCTTGTATTTTGCAGAGGGAAGTTTTTAAGAATAATCTTTGATAGTTAATAACCTGTAAAAATTCATGGAGAAAAAACCTGATTTCATCATGTCCTGTTGGGTCTAGAAGGGGTTGTTTGCAATGATGTATTCAAGTTGCAGTTCATAATTTCTGATGCTGGCTGATGTTAGAAAAAGTCCACAGTTCTCATATGAAGAGGTAACAAAGACTTGGGTCAGCTTATCCAGGCACAGATCAGTTTGTAACAGTTCCTTTGTTAAACAAATCATCCTTGGAAGTTAAGAATCAGGTAGGAATTTGCAGGATTTCCCTTCTATAAACAGATGGAGGAAATCAGAAGCATTTTATCCATTGCTCTGAAAGGAGAAGCAAATGACTCTCCAGATGAGTTTTAAATGCACTTACTGCAAATAGCTGGAAGTGACCACAGTCCAGCTTGTGAGATAGAAGTTGTCTTTCTCTGTAAAGCTTATAAAAAGCAGGTTTTTCCATTATAAACTTTTTTTTGGGGGGGGTTGAAGCATGGGGAGCAAAATGACTTTGGTTCACAACATTCTTTTGCATAGGCATTCAGGTAGGTCTTCAAAAGCTACTGGCTGTCCAGACTAGTAACAAAATACCCATGCTCTTTCCTCAGTAGTGGCCGCTCCTCTTTGGTATCCTGTTTCATAAGGCAGACGTCTTGCAGAGATGAAGGAGTCATACAGATGCATCTTTGAAAAGGAAGACAGTGTCACTTGTGTTGCCACAAACACATTCATCTACTTGATTAAGAAACACACAGGAAAGCTTTTGGTAGGGGGTGGAAGAGGGAGAAGAGGAAGCACTGACACATTCACCACTTGCTAGAAGCAAGTTATTTTGCTCTTGTAATTAGCAGCTGTCAGTAGCTGTGAAACGTCTGTGTTGCCAGAAAATATGGAATTACAGCTTTGTGAGTAATTCTGAGTTACAAGGAACAGGACGTTAATAAATCCTTCCAGGTAGACACAGCCCTGTGGCAGAAAGTATAAATATTCATTTTGGGAAGCATTCCT